TTAAATTTTGCTATTTTGACTGGGGTGAGATGATATCTCATAGTTGTTTTAATTTGCATCTCTCTTAGAGCTAGGGATTTTGAACATTTTTTCATGTGCTTGTTAGCCATCTGAATGTCGCCTTTGGTGAATACTTTATATTTTTTGTGTATTGAAGACTAACCATTCAGTTCATATTGGTAGGACATGAACTTCCTTTTTTTCTTTTCAGGGGCATTTTTGTGTCAGTTTACTTCCTGCCAGAGGTTGAAGGGAGGATTGCCAGGAGATAGCTTCTCTGATGGTGTCTTCTTATTGTTAGCTACTTTGAATACAAATAGAAGTCTTGTCTGTTGACATATCCTTGATATTTCTTTGTCTGTTTTTTTATATGTGTATTTATGACTTTCAGGCAGGACCCAGCCCACTTTTAAATACAAAGGCCTGCCCACCAGATTCTGATTGCTTAAAAAAGAAACTGCCAGCCCACAGCATGGCCAGTCAGCTTACACTTGCTTGTTAACAAAATAAAAAACACCCAAACAGTTTACACTCAACTTTCAAGTAAATCAAAACATCTTACCCTCCAGAATCCAACTGCTCCAAGCTGGAGACTCTCAGGCAGGACCCAGTTGACTTTTAAATACAACTGTGCTCATGTGGAAACTATACCTGGACCAGAAGGCTGTTGTGTGAGCAGAGCAAGGGAGCACTGCATGGTATAAAATTGAGAAGGGAGTGAGTCAGAGTTGTATCCTAACTCCATACCTATTCAATCTGTATGCTGAGCAAATTATCTGATAAGCTGGACTCTGAAGAGGAGTGTGGTATCAGGATTAGAGGGAGACCCATCAGTATCCTACTTCATACGGATGATACAACCGTACTTGCTGAAAGTGAAGGATTAGAGGGAGACCCATCAGTATCCTACTTCATAGAGATGATACAACTGTACTTGCTGAAAGTGAGGAGGGCTTGAAGCGCTTGTTGCAGAAGATCAAGGAATGCAGCCTTTAGTATGGATTGCATCTCAGTGTCAAGAAAACAAAAATTCTTACCACTAAACAGATAGGCAACATGCTGGATGGAGAGGAGATTGAAACTGAACAGCTTCATCTTGCTTGGATCCACAGTTAAAACCCTTGGTATAAGCAGTCAGGAAATAAGGAGACACTGCATTGGGTAAATCCCCAGTTAGGGATGAGGAGTAGTGATGTCAGTTTGAGAACTGAGGTGCATCTAATTCAGGCCATAGTCCTTCTGATCACTTGCTGTGCATCTGAGCTTGAAAATGAGTAAGTCTGACAGAAAAATAATTGATGCCTTTTAGCTGGAGAAGAGCACTACACATCTCATGGTCTACAAAGAGAGAATGTCTTAGAGAGGGTGCAGCCGGAGTGTTCTTTGGAAGCAAGTATGACGAGACTTCACCTCACATACTTTGGGCATGATGCCAGGAGGGGCTGTTTCTCAGACATTATGCTGGGGAGAGTGGAGGGTAGGTGAAGGAGAGGAAGACTCTAAAGCTGGTGAATTTACACGGTGACTACCACAGTGGGCTCTTGTGTGTCAGGAAGTGTGAAGATGGCAGGAAGTGTGAAGATGGCACAGGAGAGCACAGGGTTTTGATCTTTTGTTCATGGGGTCTCTATGAGTCATACTAGGCACTTGTGGCACCTAGCAATAGTAATATGTATTTATACTTCTCCTTTAAAATGTGTGTTAAATAGTGAATTTTAACAAAATTAATTTTATTAAGTAATATTATTTTGAAGTATAAAATAAAGCTGCATAAGCTATATGGAATAGCTTATACAAAACAGAAATATTTAGAATTCAGGTTTTATTACCTTTGAAAAAGAGGAAAATTGGAAAATGGAGAGGCACATCTTGGCTTTTGAAGACATAGGAGACATGGAAAATGTCTAGTTCTGTAGGAGTTCTTTTGTGTGCCTTCCCATATATTCACTTCTCTAAGTAGTCAAAACTATAAATTTTTTTAAAAGTTTATTTATTTTTATTTTATTATTTGTGTGTGTGTATCGTTAAATCAGATCTGACTGATAAAGGAGGAGATGGGCCCTCCTTCTCCAGCAGAGCATCTGCTGGATTCGAACCTCATACCTCTGGAATTATAGTGCAGCTTCTTGCCACTAGGCCACCAGAGCTCCCAGAAACTATAAATTTTAAGTATAGTATTTTATTCATTCTTGTAATTTTATCCTTCAACATAAAAAAGCTGAGTCCCAAACCTGTCAAAAGAATGAGTAAATATTTTTTTAGTTAGATGGTTTACAAATAACTTGTTAACATAGTAATTTAAGGTTTGAATATGACATAAAAGACATGGTAGGTGAAATATTAGGAGCTTCTCAAGTTAAATGATTCTACTATTTTCTGGCCTCGTTTTTTATTTTTGCTAAAGCCATAAGTGTATTGGAGACAGGATTCTTTTAAATACACTTAATGCCATGGGGAAAGCATGAGAAGATTTCTGGTTTATCCTATGACATAATTTATAAGACTCCCCTTTAGTTCCAAAATACTTTATATAATACCAATTCCATTTTTTCTTCTCAAAAACCAGTTCGTGTTTCTCCTTTTCCGACTGGCTTTCTTGTTAATCTGAACCTCATGTTTGTATACTTTTTAATATTATCCTATTTTTATCTGTCAGTCGTTTTGTCTCTGACTACCACATGGTGGATTATAAATCTCTTGAAAAAACTACCATATGTTAGTTCCCCTGTAGCACCAGTTCATAAATGTATGATAAAAACAATGTTTGCTGTGCTTTGTTCTATTAATGGGAAACATGAACTAGCAGATTGAGGAAAAAATACTACATTGAGTTCTGTCACTAACGGGTATTATGCTGCCTTATAAAGTGAAGGGTCACAGGTCTGTATTTTACTAGTCTAAAAAGCTCTAAAGTGTTCTGAGGATTAAGGGGTGTGCCTGGTTTGGTTTCTCCACACCAGGCCAATAAAGATTGTTTCCTAAGAACAAATTCTACCTTCAGAGTTGCCTTCGCATGCTATCACAAAACAGAAAGTAGCTACCAATTTTCTTTGTAAGCTTTTGCTCAAATGACAAATAATTTTCTGAAAGTTTTTATCTTTACATTATTATATGATCATGTTATGTTCTGAGGCTTTCTATTACCAGGCTGTTTAGACTAAGTACATAATTATTTTCCCTGGATTTTGTTGCCAGTGTCATCCTGATTTTTTTCCCACAGGTGGTCGGGACGAAATAACCGAGAAAAGATTGGTGTTCATGTTGGCTTTGAGGAAATTTTAAACATGGAGCCCTATTGCTGCAAGGAGACTCTTAAATCCCTCAGACCAGAATGTTTTATCTACGATTTATCTGCTGTTGTCATGCACCATGGCAAAGGATTTGGCTCTGGACACTACACTGCCTACTGCTATAATTCTGAAGGAGGTATATATGGATGGGGAAAAACTATTTCCTCCTGGTTTCAACTTGGAAGCTGGTATTCAGGCTTAGTGTTTTCTGAAATTCCAGTCAATTTTCTGAAGCAGAGCTTTTCACTATTTTCTAGATTGTCTTCAGCCTGTCTGCTTTTGCTTCATTGTTCTTATAAAAAAACTAAACGAGAGGGTTTGTACCAAAAAAACCCCATTTAATTTGCATTAGTTTTGATAATTTAAGGACTTTGTTGTTAAGCACAGTCCACTTGACCACAATTCATAGAGACCATATGATTTAGCAGATCTGAACCCTGGCCATCCTCAGGGTCTCTCATGTGTTTGAACCCGCTGTTAAAGTTGCTGTGTTAGTCCATCTTGTTGATATTTAAAGTCTTACTCTCTTTCTCTGACCTACCAGCTTTTTCAGCATCATGTCTTTTCCCAAGGACTAAGCCACTCCTGACCAAGATAACCCAAAGTTTGTGAGATGGAGTTTCACCATCCTTGCCACTGAAGAGCACCCTGGATGCACCTGCTCCAAGAGACTTAAATTTTTTGGGCAGTCCATAGAATATTTAGTACTCTTCTCTAGCAGCAAACCTTAGAAGGATTCTTTTTTCATCCTTATGTATAGTCCAATTTTCAGAAATAAAAGAAGAAATTGAAAATACTATGACTTGTATTAGGCTCATCATAGTGGTTAAACTGACATCCATGCTCTTGGAGAGATCCATGACTAATGTCAGTGCAGCACATCTTTTGATTATGAATCCAAGTGAAAGTAAGTCATTGACAACTTCAGTCTTTTCTCCATCTATGATTATGTGGTCTGTTGGTCCAGTAGTATTTTTCTTCTTGTTGTGATAATCTATAATGAAGGGCATATTAAGTGCTTTGAGTCCTCGTCATTTTCTGCAGATTGTGTCATCTGCATAACACAGGTTGTTGATGAATCTTTCTCTAGTCCTGATGTTGTATGTTCTTCATAGAATCCAGCTTTTCCAGTGATTTGCTCTGCATACAGATAAGGGAAACCCTGTACACCTTTCCTGATTTTATACCATGCAGTGTTCCCTTGATCTGTTTGCACTTTTCCCTGGTCTAGGTGTAGGTTTCATATGAGCATAATTAAGTGTTCTGGGATTCTCATTCTTTTTTTTTTCTTCTTCTTTTTTTAATTTTAATAGACATTTACAGGAGTTTTGGATTTCCATTCATTCATTGCCACACTTTTCTCCCTGCCCACCCCTCCCCACCAGTTCGCTCCCCTCTCCAAAAAGAAAAAGAAAAAAAAATTCCTTCATTAGTATACAATCCCCCCATCCCTTTCCCCCCACCCCAAGTACACTTCTCTATGCAACCTTAATTCTGGATTCCTGTGCTAACCATATGGGATTCTTATTCTTTTAAGTATTATCCATAATTTGTAAGGATCCACACAGTCAGATGGCTTTGAGTGTTCAGTAAAGCACAAACAGTTCTTCTGATATTCTCTACTTTCAGCTAAGATCCATCATTCATCAGCAATGATATTTCTCATCTCATATCTACTTCTGAATCTGACTTGGATTTTTGAAAATTTGCTGTCCATGTACTTACTGTTATAACTGTTCCTGAATCATCTTCAGTAAAATTTTACATGCAAAGGGTTGCTGTGAGTCACAGGCAACTCAGTGGCACATAACAGCAACAAAAATATTGTAAGATAATTTCCACATTCTGTTAGGTCACCTTTTTTTGAAATGGGAATGTGAATCTCTTACATTCAGTCTTTGAAATTTCTTGGCATAGATTAATGAGCATGTCCAAGGCTATTTCTAGAACCATGTAAATTAGTATTCCCTCAATTCCTGGGGCCTTATTTTTTCACCATTACCTTCATTGAAGTTTGAACTTCTTTATCATTGATTCTTTTGGTATGTTGTTATGTTCCGTCGAGTCACTTGTGACTCATAGCGACCCTATGTACAACAGCTTTAAACTCTGTTCTGTCCTGTGCCAGTCTCATTGTCTCCGACACACTCATCCCGATTACCCCAGTCACCGAATCAATCCACCTCCCAGAGGGCCTTCCCCTCCTGAGCCTGCCCTCCACCCTCCCAAGCATGATGTCCCTCTCCAAGGACCAGTCTCTCCTTACAACATGACCAAAGTATGTCAGACAAAGCCTCAGAATCCTTGCCTCCAAGGAGCAGCCCAGCTTAACCCTCTCCAAGATGAATCTGTTCTCTTAGCAGTCTATGGCACTCTAAGCACTCTTCTCCAACACCAAAGCTCAAAAGCGTCAATTCTTCTCTCCACCCTGTTCATTGTCAAGCTCCCTGATGCATAACAAGTGATTGCGAAGACCATGGCCTGTACCAGACGCACCTTAGTCTCCAGAGACACACCGTTGCTTTTTAGTACTTTAAAGAGGTCCCTAACAGCAGACTTTCCCATTGCAATACGTCTTTTTGGTATAGTGACTCTGTGTATTCCGTATGTCTTTGTTTCCTGCACTAGTCACTATTTTGCCCATAGAATCCCGTATTGGTAATCAAGACTTGAATTTTTCAGTTCTTTTACCTTGAATAAAGTTGAGTGTATTCTTCTTTGAATTTTACAATTCCAACACTGTCCACATTAACATTATACTGATACTTTCCTGCCCTTATAAAGTTGCAACTTTCCTCCCTCTTCCTACTGCAAGTTTCAGTCTTTTCTGACACTCATTTTGATTTTTTCTTTCTCCTCTCTTTGTAATGTTTGCTTTCTTCATATCCTTGATACCATCCCACAACTCAACTGGTCTTTTGATCATTAATATTTAGTGCATCATGAGATTTTTTTAAAATTCAGTAGATAGACACAAGGTCATATTTTCGTTCTCTTGAACTTTTTTCATATCCTTCAGCTTAAATTTGAACTTGGAAATGATTAATTGATGGCCTACTGTCAAAATAATGTATTGTTGATCTTGAGCTTCTCCATCAGTTCTTTCCCCAGATACAGTCAGTCTGATTGCTGTGTAGTCTCCCAGGTGAGACCTGTATGTGTCATCACCGTGTGTGTGTGTGTGTGTGTGTGTGTGTGTGTGTGTGTATAAATTCATTGTTTATTTTCTTCCCTCCCCCAGTCCACTAACCAATAATGCACCTCTTGTTCCAGGTTGTCATATATATGCCTAGTCATATATTCCTATCAGCATTTCTTCCCCTCAACTATTTCAGTGCAGTGTCTATTATCCATCCACTCTTTTCCTTTTCATCCCCTAATCCTCCTGTCTGTCCTATTTTATAATAGCGGTGTATTTACCACTTCTTGGCCTTTTGGCTAAGATCAAGTGTAATAGCAGTGTATTTGCCCCTTTATGACTGAGATACTTCATTCAGCATACCTTCCAGGCTTACCACGTTATGTAATGTTTTTCACGTTGTTTTTTGAATTGTGCGACATTAAACATGTTGTGCATTCATAAGCTGAGTTGCAGCTCTGATTTTTTTTTGTGTGTGTGTACCGTCAAATCGGATCTGACTGGTACAGGAGGAGATGGCCCCTCCTTCTCCGGCAGTATCTGGTGGATTCTAACCGCGTATCTCTGGGATTGCAGTGCAGCTTCTTGCCACTAGGCCACCAGAGTTCCCCTTGCTCTGATTTCTTGAGGATATATTCCCTGTAGTGGAATTGCTGGGTCAAATGTTAATTCTGTTTCCAACTTTTGAAAAAGCGCCAGACTGCCTTCCGTAGTGCTTGTAGTATTTTATGTTCTCACCAGGAGTGAATAAGAGTTCCAATGTCTCTACAGCCTCACCAGCATTTGTTGTTTGCTGCCCTGTTGAACTTTGCTGTTATTGCTGGGATGAGATGGTATCTCATTGTTTTGAAATGTGTGTTTTTCAAGAGGTATGTGCTATCAAGGTATAGGGATAGATAAAAAATCTAACATAATGGTATTTTAAAGGCACACTTTAAGAACAGTTCCTATGTTTACTACTTGATTTCATTTGATTTTGTTGACAGCACTCTTAAGGGAAATGTGGATTTATAAGATAACCTGGAACAAACCTTTGAGTTTACAGTTGATCATATAAAATCACTTCCATTTACTTATTGCTTCATTGACCTCTTAGAACAGTGTTCACAGCAAGCAAGCACAGATAGCAACATCTTTGCAGTTTTCACTTTTAAGTTCCCCTTTCATTACCTTATGAAGAAGAATGAAACATCCCTTCCCCCTGCTCCTTAACACATAAGGCACAGAAACATTGTGGATAAAAAAGAAAAATACTAACACTAAACTGCATGCTATGCAGCTAAGAGCTGGACAGTAAATAGGGTTGACAGAAGACACCTTTGAGCTTTGGGGTTGGAGACTACCACCAAACATCGCGTGGACAGCCCAAAGAAAAATTACGTCTTGGAGAGGATGCAGCGAGAATGTTCTTTGGAAGGAAGGAAAATGAGCCTTTTCTTCAGGCTTGTTGCTGGGAAGGACATGCTGCTTGAATGGTGGAGGGTCAGTGAAGGATAAGGTGACCCTCCACCAGGTACAAGGATTGACATGGTGACTGCTGCGGTGGGCTCTAGTGTGTCAGGAAGTGTGAGGATGACACAGGATAGGACAGGGTTCAGACTCATTGTTCATACATAGGGTCCACTCTGAGTCATACTCAAAGGCATCTAACGTTTATGATTGGTAGCACAAACATTAACTGGTAAACCAGGAATTAAAGAGAGTATCAGTTTAATCAGTCACTCAATAACGTGAAACTACTTCTAAAATAGAGGTACGTAATTTTGTAGTAATATACTTCCCAGTCTTTATTTTTCATTGACAGTAAATGAACTTGCTTTCCCTACAGAAGGTTATTAATCTCTGAAACTTCATTTTCTTCAGGACACATTAACACGTTGCCGCAAATGACGGCAAAATGTGTTTCTAAGCATGGTCGTTACTTTTTTTTAAGTGTGCATCAATGTGTTAATGATATTTTTAATGCAACATATGGGTTTTTTACAGCATAGTCTGTCTATATTCTCCCATTTCTTCAGTATACTGTCAGATCTTGTTGATGCCATTTACTCACAGCTATTCTGTGAACAACAGAACACACTCTGCCCAATCCTGGACCAGCCTCATGGTCCACCTTGCTTAAGCCCATTGTTGCAGTCACTGTATAGAAACCTACCTGGCTGAGTTTGCTGCTTCTTCACTGACCCTCTGGGTTCCTGATAACTTTCCTAAAGTATACAACATCCTTTTCTCTTAAGTCTGCCCTACAAAGATAGGTATGTTTATTTTCTTGTCTGTGGTATATTCTGTATTTTTGCTAACATAATTTAAAAGTATCAAGTTGTCTTCAGTTTTCCTTAGTCATCATGCAACGTGCATATGAAGGTGTTGAAAATACCAGGGTTTGAGTCAGGTAACCCTTAATCTTTAAATTGACATCCCTGGGCTTTAGCATGAGACTAATCCAGTGAAAAAATGCTATTTGAATTTTTGACTCCTGCTTCCACCTGGGTATTGATTTTATGTTTCTGATTTCCATTAAGAAACACCTGTATTTTTTTCTTCTCTTTAGGGTTCTGGGTACACTGCAATGATTCCAAGTTAAGTATGTGTACCATGGATGAAGTATGCAAGGCCCAAGCTTATATCCTGTTTTATACCCAGCGAATTACTGAGAATGGACATTCTAAAATCTTGCCTCCAGAGCTCCTACCTGGTAGCCAACATCCCAGTAAAGAAGCTGATGACTGTAATAATGAAACCTCTAGCTGATTCCAAGACATTTGGCTTCCTTTTTGTGATTTGTATGCATACTTGTTAAAGGATCTGATTTACATTTTTAATTACATTGTTTTTTTTAACTTAGGAATCAGTGCACACTATGTTTCTGTATTTTGTATCTATTATACAGCAAAGCTCTTTTTTTACAGAGACAATTAAAATTGGTAATAACTGTTTATTAATACGAGGTAACCCAAACTTTCCAAAGTACTTGGGAATTTTAAACTCGAAAAAATACCTCAGACTGGTGTTACCTCTCTTGATATTTTTGATGTCTTAACTGACTCAGATCATAAATTTTTGCAATTTTCTACCAAAGTTCAGATTGCATCATTTTATATACATATTACTTTTTAACTATTTTCTATACAGATTTTTAATAAAAAATGAGACATATTCTTCACTAATACGATCTTACCAAAAGAAAAATGGGTATTTCAGGCTACTTGTTTATTAAACTCACCTGTGCCCCCTTGCAGGGAGTTGAACCACTACATTCAAAGTATATCAGGATTATCACCTAATTCTTGAGAATCCCTCAGGCTTTCTGTCTCAAGACTCAGAACAGATATTACTTTGACTAATGGAATTAATTTTTAAAAAAATATCAATAATTGTTATTTATTTGGCACAAATATCCAAATGAGAATGGCAACTTTATAAAAAAGGCATCTCTAAGTCAACTTTGGTACTATGGACAAGACACAGAATGATGGCTGGAGGTTATGATTTGTCTGGCAGTATCATAAAAATATTTACTTTGGTATGAACTCATTTTATTTATGATTCACTCTTTTAAAGACACTGTACTGTATTTTAACTTGAGGTTTATAGTTAATACAGATAAATTAAGAAAATTGCATAGGGCAGAGAATCACTCAAAATTGACAACTGGGTAACATCTAGTATTTCATGTTCACAGAATATAGTTGATTCCTTACTGCTAGGAAAATGCAAATACTAGGAGGTATAAGTTGCTCACAAACTCATCCACCAGGCCTCCACATAACTTGGAAAAATTCTATGAAACTAACCCTAACTTCTTTAACATCCAGAAAGGGGAGGCAGCTATCCTCTGTAGATACAGATAACTTATGAAACGGCTCAGTATTAACTAGATCATTTATAACTTTCAGCTGGCAAATGTTTCTTTAAATTTCTGAAAATTAATGGAGGCAGCTGATAATGAAGTGCAATGAGAACATGTAACTGTACAGACAAATCATTTGTGCCAAAAATGCAGTTTGAGTATAAAATGGCTTTGGTTTACAATCATTTTTATAAAAACAGCTATGCAAGTTGTTACCTCAATTGTTACATAATTATACCTCATTAAAGATTTATATGGACAGTACAACTGAGTCTATTATTTTTCCCCCGACAGGGACAGTTGTTTTGTGTGTTTTTTTTTAAACTTTGCACCCCCCCCCCACCCCCCCCCCCCCCCATTTTGGCCTGTGAAAATTGAGACCCTCTACTCCTTAGACTTATCTCAGTAGCTTACAGGAGGCATGTGCCACGGTAAAAATAAAAAATTATACATTGATGATACCACAGTGCACACTTGCTCTGATAGGTAAGAGGTTGTGTCCAATTGGCTAGGTTTATTATTTTCAGTGGTTTAGCTGTTAAGTAATAGGTTCTCCCCCATTTCTGCACAACTCTTAAATGCACATTAATGGCTTGATCCTTGGAATCCAAGCACATGGAGGAGTGGATGTACTACTTTTTCTTACCACTTAGTCATTGAACTCTGGTGGCCTACAGGTAGGAAGTTGCACTGCCAAACCATTAAGATACAAGTTTTGAATCTACAAGCTGCTCTGCAAGATAATTTAATGCCTCTGAAAACCTGGAGAGTTGGCTGTGGGTCATATGGGTTATAACAACAATCACTAACAGTCAAAAGAAATGTTGAGCAGTTGTATAATGGTATAGCAGTGTGTATTTGAATGTATAAATCCATAGGAAAGAAAGTGACTTAAAATCCCTTTAATCTTGCTAAGGTGATCTAACAAAAAACAACATGCTTTGGTTGTAAAATAATTTACTAAAGGCACTATTAAACATCAAACTAGTAGTTTGTAACCAATAAAGGGTACATTATTGTAAACATGTCAAAATTATTTCAAGATATACATGGCCAGTAAGTAAACAATACAGTTTTCTCTTAAGTGACAGCTTTCCTATTTACAAGATTGTGTCCCTTACAGCCAGTCCAGGGGTATGCGTTGATACTAACGCTTCCAGCAGTTCTGTATCATAAGTGCTGAAAAGTCTTATGAAGTGCCAAAATTCTGACTCAGGATCAATTTTAAATTTCAAGGCTTAGAAATCAAGATACGTACTTTATAGTTGTCATCAAAAAAGGTATGGACTTGAAGGAATTAGCTGAAGGGCCCAAGCCCTGTAACATGTCCAGCCATGAATTTTAATTCTATCACTAGCACAAAATTATAGAACATGGAGAAATAATTGGAAGGTAGCTATTGAACATTATTAGCACCATACTGAACATGGCTCATATGGCTAGAAACTAGATTGTATTTATCCCACAAGAAAACATTCATACATAGCTCCAATGCTGAAAGAGCAGCTTTTTAATGTAATAAATGACCTAGGTACAGAAGCCATAAATTTTTCTTACTGTGAGAAACACTGTTAATAAAATACAAACTAAACAGCATCCCAGAGGCAATAAAATCATTTTGTGCTGAAGCATACAAATTAAGGCTTTTACCTTGGTACACAAGAGTTTTGAAATTACATTGGAACACTCTCAACAAATCATTTGCAGGTAGGAATTCAAGCAATTCTAAAGATTGATAGTGGGGCTTGGTTTTAACAATACATAATTACATTCTAGTAATGCTCACAACTGCTAGATCTCCCTAACCTTACTTCCTGAACTGCTACCCAGATCTAGAATCTAAGCCAGCTCATTTATCAAAATATGTAATTCCAGTTCAGCTTTATTCTAACTAGAACAAGATCCAAACATGAGCAGTTTCCCTGATATTTTTTTTCCCTGTTGAGGGTTTAAATGTCCTTTTGGTCTTCTAATTAGTAAAAACTAACACTGGATAAAGAATCTAAACATTCTTATTTTACTAATCAAAGTTTCATGTTAGTAAAATGTTCCTATTTAAATTCATGCTTTCAAACATTGGGCCTTGTTGATACGAATAGGATTGACACATGCTAATAAAAATATTCCTAAAGAAAATAACTCTGGTTTACGCATCTGTAGTTTTTGTTTTAGCCATCACGTCACTAAGTATTAGTGTAGAGAAATCTACAATCCAGACAGTAGGCTCTCAATCTCCTTACATTAAGTTTGGCTATCCAAAATTATAACCACAGACATTGAAGTGTAGCTCTCAGATCTGAAAATGTCTTTATTTTTTTTTTTTTAGAAAATGGATTTCAGGAAGGTTAAAAAGCAATACCAGAGGGTATATAGGTGCAGAATTGGTTGTAGTCATTCAAAGCATCAAAGTAGGAATATGGTAATATAAATACCTGAAAAGCATCTTTTAAGTGTCCAAAACAAAATGTGCAACTCATTCCAAACTAATTTGAGCTCTAGCATTTTCCTAGATGGGGGAGATAAACAGTTAACATTTCTGAAAATCTTGAGAACTTTTTCCTCAGTTAATTACATTAGAAGGTTCACCTGTGATCAAATTTCTTTTAGAAACATGGATAAAAGTATTACGTAAGTCCACTGTTAACAACAAACAATATGTTGCACATTAAATCTGGTATAATGTAATCCAACAAAGCTTAAAAATAAAGGTCAACGTTGAGGTGGCTTTTGAACTAAGTTTAATAATCATCTCCTCTGCTGACAACTTCTTTACATGTTGGACGCAACAGTATGGTATGTTCAAATTGTGCTGTGTATGATCCTTTAATGTCACATAATGGTGGATATGGGTCTATAATGCCCAAGTCACACAGATTCTTCAGAGCCATCAAGTATTTACTTTCTCCCAAGCGATCCAACCATCTGCGGCAGAAGGCGAGGGTACCAAAGTTTTCATTGATGACATTTAACAAGTGTTTTGATCTTGGAAGCCTAGGAGGAGAAATTCCAAGATTAATAGTTGGCCAAATTTACTAATCCAAAGATTTACTTTATTGTAAAAAAAAAAATCAAACCTTAGCTTTGAATTCACTATAATCAAGATTGAGACAACTTCCCCCCCATTCAATAAAAAAAGCAAAATGTATCTTATGTAATTATAGTTGTTACTTAAACAGATCAACTGGAGGTCATCTTATGTTTGTTCTGTGCACAGACATTCCTCATATAATGCAGGTTAAGTTCTAAATCATTGCAATGAAGTAAAGCCCTAGTGGCAGAGTGTGTAATGTATCAGGCTGCTAATTGAAAGTTGAGCACTTTAAATCTATAGTTGGCTCATGGGGGAGCACAATGTGTTCTCTCCTTTAAAGATAACAAACTTGGAAATCTGTTGGCTTGAGTGAGAAATGACTCAGTGACAGTGACACAATGTCTGAAATATTAGAAGAGAATTATCAAAATGCAAAAAAAGAGCATACGCTTCTGGACAAAATGGCAGGGATAGACTTGCTTAATGTACAGTGGTTGTCATAAACCTTTATTAAATAATAAGTTACCTACAAAATCTAGTAAAAAGGTGTGCAAGTATGTGCATTTATGTGTTAAACTTCCAGTGCACACATGTATGGGGTCAGTGGGAATGAGTTTCTTTTCCTGTCCACCAACTTAAATGCAGTAACATTAATGTGAATATTAAGCATAAAAATCTGAAAATAGTAGGAAAGTAATAATCCTTGAAATTATTATTAGCAGCTGGATCTGTGAGGAGTATTACCCTATCTGATTTTCACTTCAGTGTAAAGTTTTGAAAAGCCAATTTTGTTTCTGTATTACAGAAACCACAGGACTTAATATAAAGCACAACTATACATCTATGAATATAATCAAACTGAAAGTGTGGCACCTTTTAACTAAATGCTGAGAAACCTAAAAATCACATTGAAATCCAAGTCTCTCACCTTATTGGTACATGTCCAACATCAAAATTTTTCATGTAATGGGAGCATTCCATATCGTCATGGACCACACCTTTTCCTGTACTACCAAAGGTTTCAATAGCATACACTTCTCCTTCCTTCCGAAAATATCAAGGAGAAAAAAAAAATCATTACAATTTTCAATTCAAGTCCCCTGGCATTCCATTGTTTTTGCTTTTAACACCATGATCACTTTTTTTTTTATAGATAGTAAGTAGACAATATAACTTCCACAGCTTGGGCCCTGATACAATTTGTACACTAAAAACCCAATTCCTGCCTAACTTTGCTCAACATCATTTTCTATTTTAAACATAATAATCATTAAGTTTGGGGAATAAGATCAAAGTGCTTTCTAGTCACACACATACACATAGTGGCATACACACCTCCATTCTTGTTGCCTCTCCTCCTTTCACAATGGGCACTGTTTTGCCAGCATGTATTCTATATGGCCCAATTGAATGTCCATTTAGATTACGGATTGGTTTCACTGTTAATAATAAATAAGAAAATTACAGCATTTTTGGAAGAACATTTTTGGCTTTCTCTTACAGAGTTCATGCATTTATTTAAAAACAAGATAAGTAGCTACCAAATAATACTATCAAGTAGTAAATATAAATTGGAAATCTAGGTCACTGACTAGAATACAGAAAGATACTTAATGCAAAGTTATCAGTAAAAATCACGAGTAGAAAAAAAATAATTTCAGGACAGGACACTTGAGGGTCCTGTAAGGAGATAATTTCCAAAATTAAACATGTATTGTTAATAAGACTGCCATGACAAAATGCCATGGGAACAATTACAAAACACCCTTGTCTCTCTTCTTATGATTTGGAATTGCTCTTAGAAACTTGGGCCAGAATCTATTTCACCGTTACTCCAATGTTGTTGTTATGTGCCGAGTCACTTACGACTCATAGCGACCCTATGTACAACAGCTCTAAACTCTGCTCTGTCCTGTGCCAATTGCACTGTCTCCAGTACACCCATCCCGATTACCCCTAAACTCTGCTCTGTCCTGTGCCAATCGCACTGTCTCCAGTACACCCATCCCGATTACCCCAGTCACTGAATACTATGTCTAAACTTGATGCTTTTACCCTTGAAAATCAAGAGTGGCAGAGAAATACTAGGATGGATAAGTGTGATGATGACCATGATGAATACCACTTGAATGGGGCAGACATAGGAAGACCTGAAATAGCAAATATTTTCTGCAGTCACAGTAAATGTAAAAATGAGGATGCTGTGTATATATGGTAGGTGTATGGTGTCTCCATCTGTCAAATGATCTGAGATCACCAGCAGAATAATAAAAGCGGATTTACTCATACAAAGGAACACTGTTCAACATAAGTATGAAATTTTTAGTTGAACTGGGACACAAACTGCAATAAAAACCTTAATATTAGCAAAAGTGGAACACTTATACAATCTGCAATCTTACTTACAAAAAGTTCTAAAACACAGATTATTATTTAGGGAGCCCTTATGGCGTAGTGGTAGTGGTTGATTGCTGTCGAGTCGAGCACGACTCATAGTGACCCTATGAACAAAAGGCCTGAAGCATTTCTATAACTTGAGATTTATCAAAGTCATAGATTTTCAAGGGGCATGTTGTTTAGGAGTGGATGCCACTCCTGCTTCCAAATCTGTCTTAAACTGGGAGTTCCACCAAACACTGTCCACCCATGGGTAACCGGTATGGCATCTGACACCCCAATGCATCACAGCAACCCCAGGTTAACTCAGTACGGTGTATTGACAGAAGAGTGCTGGTACACTTAGAAGAATGTTCCTCCAAAATATAACAGCCAGCTTTTGAATACAAAAGCCCTCCACACGGTCTTGTTGACTCTCTACATAAGGCTTAAACAACCAATATAGTATGTTATTGTTGTTATGTGCTGTTGAATCGCCTTGCGATGTATAGTAAACCTATGTACAGCAGCTCTGAACCCTTCTCTGTCCTGAGCCAATCTCACTAATTCCCCTTCTGTGGCTTAGTGGTACAAAATTAAAATAATATGAAGGTATACGGTTTGAATGCACCAGCTGCTCCATGGGGGGGAATTATGGGGAATCTCCTGCCTCTGAAAACCCAATGGAGTGTCAGCTATGGGTCAGTTCTTGATGGTAAACAACAATAACTATTATTTAGACATGTATAATTAGTAGTAAAAATATAAAGAAAAGCAAATGCAAATACTAGGTAAAATAGTAGTTTCCTAGAGGAGTGTATGGAAACCATGAAGGGGTGTATAAGAGATTAGGGTTTTCTTAGAAGGATGGCAATACTCTATTTTTTGAGAGGTGAGGTCATATTTTTTTAAAATGTTTTTTGTTTTGGTTTGTATCTTTTCAGAGTGATAGTTCACAATTTTTTTTAAAAAAGGTTTTTTTTAAAAAACAGTAGCCATTACAGCACTACTCACCAATGCCAAATGGCAGAAATAACCTAGAAGCCCTGGTGATACAAAGGTTAAGCAATCAACAGCTAACCAGAAGATGAGAAGTCTGAATTCACCAGTCACTTTGGGGGAGAAACAGGGCAGTCTGTTTCTGTAAAGACAACACTGAAAACCCTGAGATAGTTCTATGTTCTCCAGGGTTGTTATGAATCAGAACTTTCTTGGCAGCTGGTTTGGTGATTTATATTATAAACAAACTTAATGACCAGGAAACAATAAACAAATGTAGTATACATTCAATGGAAGACTACTTAATCTAAAGAGAAAGTGCTAACAAGTATTTGACAGATAAGCCTTGAAAATATCAAGGTGAGTGGACTTGTCCTAAAAGAACAACTATGATATGACCTCACATACATGAAGTATCTGGAATAGGCACATTTACCCATGGTTACTAAAGCAGGAGAAAGGAGAATGGGAGTACTGTTTAGGAGAGCCGTGAGTTTGTTAAGTGATGGGAAAATTTTAGAAACATACTGGTTAAGAGTTAAAGAACATGATGAATTGATCTCATTGACTATACATGTAAAAAAGGTTGAAATGTCCTGTGGCTTTTTTATATATACCAACTACTCCCTGGAAGAAGGAAAGTCTCCCCTGTGGTCTACATCCTCTAAAAATCCACTGGAGGCTCAGTTATGAGTGGATTCTGACTCATAATTTTGCCAGTAGGGCAATAGGGGAGAAACCCTAGTCCTAAGATTTTAGTGTCCTTAGAAAAAGTACTTGACTTTGTGGATCTTAACAAATTATGAGTAACATTGAGAGTGGGAATCTTAGAACACTTAACTCTCAAATACACTCATGCAAAACTCATACACAGACCAAGAAGCAGCTGTCCAAACAGAACAAGGGAACACTGCAGTTAAAAATCAAGAGATGTGTGTGTCAGGCTTGTATTCTTTCTCCATACCTATTCAATCTATATGCTGAACAAATCTATTCAAGAAGCTAGACTATATGAAGAAGATTAGAGAAATACTCATTAAAAACTTTTCCTATGCAAATGATAACTTTTCCTGTGAGTGAAGAGAATTTGAAGCACTGACTGCATAAGATAAAAAACTATAGTCTTTGAAATGGGTTGCATCTCAGTAACGAAAACAAAAATCCTCATCAGTGGAATAACAGGCAACATCATGATAGATGTAAAAAAAGACAGAAATTTTTGGATCCATAATAAACAACTTTGGCAATAGTAGGGAAGAAATCAAGATTGATGTCAACTATTTCATTTTACTTGGATCCACAATCAAAATCTATGGCAGCAACAGTCAAAATATTAAAAGACATGCTGCACTATGAAAATCTGTTATCAAGCAATTCTTCAAAATGCTGAAGAAGAGCAAAGATGTCATATTTAAAGATTTAAGGGCACTTGATCCAAGACACAGGACTTTCAGTTACTTACCTATGCAAGCCAAACCTGGGAAAAGAATAATGATGACAAGAGAATCAATGTTTTTGAGTTGTGCTGTTGGCAAGCAAAACATGACTACTAAAAACACCAACTCTGTCTTGGAGGAAGTGTGGCTACAGTGCTCCTTAAAGGCTACTTCGTCTCATTTACTTTGGGCATGTCAGGAACAGCAAGTATGTGGAAAAGACATCATGATGGGAAAGGCAGAGTCAGGGAGGCAGAAAATGCTCAACAAAGTGGATGGACACAGTGACTAATAATGGGCTTGAGCATGATGGGAACTGTGAGGTGGTGCAGGAGAGGGTAAGGGTCAACTGTGTTTCTCACAGGGTTGTTATTAACTGTCATCTATTCGATGGCATACAACTACAAATGCCAGTAAAAACAATTTTTCTTAGAGTAGAATAAAGTAGTAAAAAACTGTTTTGTCGTTTTGGGTTTGTTTTCTTCCTTAATACATAGCAATGAAGTAAAGGCAAATATATAAAAAAATTTCAAATGCTGGAGAGATTCCAAGATGATGGCGGAGACAGCACAGTCAGCTGAGGGAGCAGCGGACCACATAGAGGAGGGCCACCATGGCCTTCTACAGACCTCTGTTTATTGATAACTGAACAGTTAAAACAGTTGATGACTGGTCTTCGGTGCGGTTTGAGGCCCAACAGCAGGAGATCAAGGATTCCCAGGGAGGAATGGGTGAGTTCCACAGCTCCCAGCCCCCTGCTGCTGAACCCAAGAAGGCAAGCAGCTTTAACCCAAGACTACCAGTAAGGTGATAAAGTGTGCTCCCTTTCCCCTTCACATCAACGCCCCTGTTCAGCATGAAGAAGCCAGAGAGTCTGCGCCCAATTCCCAAATGAGAAACCCACAAGTTAACCACTGCCCTGGAACATCTGGTCCCCACTGGATCCTTTTCATTTTCCTTCACCTGCTCCCCCCACCAACCAAATTGTGCAGCCTTGCAACTGCATCCCTGAAATTATCATCCCTGTCCACCCTCACCCCTCTGCTCCCAACCCTCACCTCCTTGTATCCCCAACATGTTTTTCCCCAATAAAATAAAATAAAAAAATAAAATAAAATATTCAAGTGCTGGTAACTTTCTAATTTCTGTAGGATCCCTATCAAGGTATTTAAACTAATTCTCTTAAGGACCACTTCTGCTCTGTGGTTTTGGAAAGGCTCTTTGAAGCTAAGCCTAGGGGCCATTTCTTCACCTTGTAGCATCATGATTTGCCTAAACATTTGCTGCTAATGAAACCAATGAAGGGCCCTGATCAATAAGCAACTCCTTAAAAGTGTAGTGCTAAAAATAATAAAATGTAAAATGCTGCACTGGTTTTGTGTAAGAAGAAAGAAGGCAGATACTAATGATTACAGGCTGAAATGATTTAGTAATTAAACAATGGTTTTGCTTTTCCTGATCAAGTGTTCTGGGATTCTCTTCATGTTAGCCACAATTCGTTGTGATCTACAGAAATGCTTTTGTATAGTTAATAAAGCAGATATTCCTGCGGTATCCTCCTTTCAACCAATATCCATCTGACATTGGCAATGATGTCCCTAGTACCATGGCATCTTAATATTTAAAAA